GACGTGTAGTGCCCACAAATTTGGAAATCTAGAACAAAACAAGAACACCTGACTCAATACTCAGAAGAAGGAAAATAATAAGGGACCCAAATAATAACAAAACGCCAATATTAATGTTTTTGTTAAAAATAATGTTAAGTTATGACCAAGTAAAAGAAAAGGTTCAAAACTATTATCAGTTCTATGTATATGAACTTCTAATAACTCCGAACGTTTTTATCCTCAAGCAGAATTACCTACCTAAACTCAAACCAAAGAAATCAAAACCAGACCCAAACTATTTTATAAAATATCCAAATGAGATTTATGAGCTTAGTACTTTAGATTTTGGATATAATTCGAAATCGAATCCAAATCCGAATTAGGACCCGAAAATATCCAAAATTAGGTAAATATGTTAGTGTTTTAGATACTTTAAGGTAAATTATATATTTTATAATATTTGAAATTTTTTGTAGTTTATTTCATTTATTGTTTTGAATATTTTTAATTTTAATTAGAATTGTGAATAATTTATATATTTTGAGAAAAATAATTGTCACCTTTTTTTTTTTTGATTAATCAGGTGTTGACCAGCCTTCGGCCAATCCACCACCTAGTGCACGGCGCCAGCCTGCGTCTGTACCGGTTAAGGCCCTGGACATGCCTCCCCACCTGCGAATCGAACAACTGACCTCCCAAAGTTGAGGGGCAAATACCACTGGACTATCAAGTCCGGATAAAAAAAATGTCACATTTTCAAGTTTTAAAAAGATTGTTTTGGATGATTTTAGAAATTGGTTACAGTTCGATTTGAACCGTACCTAAAATAAATCGAACCAAATTTGATCTAATAATTAGTAAAATCTGAATATAACTTATGAGCATAGTATTTAAAAATCTAAAATAACCAAACCAAAATTTAAGGGGCATCCGAACGTCCATGCCTACTTCCAATCGTGCCTGGATTCAGAAACGGATGCTGAATTAGATATTTACTAGTATGAGATACATAATCAAATTTTGAAAACTGATTTATCTATTTGCAAACTGTTAGTCTAAGTTTCGTCAAATCTGTCTGCTGTCTTTCGCCCGACGGAGCTAAAACGATTGTAACAGTGTATATTATTGTTGCAGTTTTTTTGGTTAATTAGAGAATTGTTAATGATGACGAAGATTGAAGATTCAATTGCTTCTGAATTGGGCCTTGCTTAGCGATAGCGTACATGATAATGAAACATGCATGTTTCTCAATTTCCAATTGATTACAGATGAAAACAATATAATACCCGACAAAATTGAAACTTTGAATAAAACAAGACATTTGACTCAATAATTATAAGGAAAAAACAAGAATAAAAAGCCAATATTAGTGGTTGCGTTAAGAAATAATGTTTTAGTTACGACTAAGTTGAACTACACCAATGACTAACAATTATAAGATACTCCGTCCGTTTCAAAAAATTAAACGTTTTAGTTTTTTCACACATGTTAAGAAAAAACATAAAATTTTGATTATCAATGTATTATTTAGTATAGAAAATAAATCCCTATATTTTTTTAACAAGTATAAACAACACAATTCATTTTTTTGGAATCTACAATTTTTCATTAAATTATATATTAAAAATATAAAAAATACATTTTTTTGAAACAAATACTATTTCTAGAATGTTCATCTTTTTAAAATGGAGGGAATATACCTTAATTTCAAACGATTGTAATGAACTTTCGGAATAAACCCGATCTAGAATAAATTGAGGAACTTTTTGCATAGCTACGAACGAAAACTTGTAAATGAGTAAAATGATCCAATTAACAACCATATAAATTAGCATCCAATAAAACCCTAAGTACCAATATATTGAAGTACATTAAAAGTATTGAAAACAGTATAGATGATTAAATAATTTGAAAATTCAAACGCTTTAGATTTTGTAATGATAAAAAATGATATTTGTAATGATTTTGGTACTACTCATAGTTCTCATTGTGGTTTTAGTGTCTTGATAATCAACCAATACACTAGGTAACAAAATTTTGAAATATAGACTAACATTATAATTTGAGCTACGGGCTAAACATATCCTAGACAAACTTAAGGAAATATAAGCTCTTGCAAAAAAAATGATTAAGGGATGTACCAAATACAAAAAGAAAACTGAACATAAGAACATCTCCAACCTACTTTATTATTTACGTTTAAATGTTATTATAGAAAAATAGAATCTAATACACGTCTATGTATTTCTGTAAATATATTGTATTCTCTGTATTAAAAAGAATAAATATAATTTCTTGATGACAGAAAAATATATATAAGTTTTTATATTTATTAGAGTAAGAAATGGATGAAAATTGTATAGATATTTGTATTTGAGTGAATTCTACCACAATGACTTTTAAAATTTTATATTTTTTTAAGAAAATAAATTTAATATATTCTAACCAAATACCTTTTAAATTTGGGATCCTTAACATAAATATATGTTTCTCATAAAACTAAGTACCATTTTTACGGAAAATTACATCAACTATTCATGTTACAAAAGTAAAAGATACATGCATTGTTTTTGTAGATGATATATGTAAGTAGAGAATGACTAATATTTTATTTCTAGTTCAAATATCAAAATGCTGACTTCAAATACCAAATGGCTATAAAATAAAATTTACTCCAAGAAAATCTTGTCACCAATCCTAATAAAAACATGAAAATGTACGACATTAGTCATCATTTTTTAGAAAAAAATATCAACATTTTTATTAGTTAAGAAAAAAAATTCAAATTCAATTCCAAGAAAATGATCTCATGTTCAAATATTTTAATGTACGGCATTAGTCTATCACTAGTTGCATACTCCCCGCGCAAGCGCGGGGTCGGAATCATTATGTTTGCGTATATTTTTTTTGATTTAGTGGTTTAATGGATTCTTCTAATGACACCAAATAATAATGAAATGGAAAGAATGTAGTAAGAGTGTAAAGTGAAAATATTGTATATCTAATGTGTTAAATGTTATTTATATGCGAAATAAGGTTTATAGGAACAGTTAGGTTATAATATAATTTTTAGTGTGTAAAAGTAGGTGTCTATTTTGTTTTTTTTGCTGTAAATAGTTTTTATATCGTATGTCAAAATTTGATATAATTCTATATTTATAGTATTTATATTTGTATTAAACGATTTATCAATTTAAAAATAACCTTAATTAAGTTAATATTCGTTGTTTAAGTTTCATTAGATAGGTTTTCATATATGGTTTTTTGTAAGTTTGGGTTTTGTTCATAAATGATGTGGCATTTTTATCTACGGTGTCATCGACTGTGGGAATCCATTCGCCGAAGTCTGGAGTCGGTGGTGAGGAATGTTTTCAATGAAATTATAGTAGTTATTAAAATGTAAGAGAAATTACATATTCATTTAATAAATAAGGAAAAATACTTAAATTTGGTTGTTTAATTTATTTTATTTCACATACAAATTTTTTGAAAATATATTAGGAATGAGTTAAATGTTATTTATATGCTAAGTAAGGTTTATAGGAATAGTTAGGCTATAATATAGTTTTTAGTGTGTAAAAGTAGGTGTTTTTTTTGCTGTTAATAGTTTTTATATCGTAGGTCAAAACTTGATATAATTCTATATTTATAGTATTTATATTTGTATTAAACGATTTATCAATTTGAAAATAACCTTAATTAAGTTAACATTCGTTATTTAAGTTTCATTAGATAGGTTTTTATATATGTTTTTTTGTAAGTTTGAGTTTTGTTCATAAATGATGTGGCATTTTTATTTACGGCGTCATCGACTATGGGAATCCATTTGCCGGAGTCTGAAATTGGTGGTGAGAATGTTTTCAATGAAATTATAGTAGTTATTAAAATGTAAGAGAAATTACATATTCATTAAATAAATAACCAAAATAATTAATTTTGTTGTTTTTTTATTTTATCTCACATACAAATTTTTTGAAAATATATATTAGGAAATATGTTTAAGGATTTCACTTTTTGAGCTCTTAATCTATATTATTCAAGTCTCATTAAGCCATCCACGTAGGTAGCCGCGTGGGATTTTTTTTTTTTTTAGTCGGTTTGTTTTTGGATTCATTTTTTATTATTTTTGGGTTGAACTATATTATAATAGGATAGTTTTAGGGCTCTTTAAGCCATCCGTGTAGGCAACCGCGTGAGACTTGTTTTTTTTTTATTGTTCATTTTGCATCCATTTTTAACTATTTTTGGTTTGAACTCGTTAAGTTTTAGGGTTTATCCAACTATTTTGATCTTTAAAACAATAAGACATAAAAAAAAAACATAAAAACCTTACAAACAAAAAGCCCATATGATAATAACTAAAATAAAAAAATCAAAAATAAATGATGGTTGCGTGGTTTGAACCCACGATCTAACATGCTTAATTAGACACCTTATACCACTTGGCTAAAGTGTATTTCATTGTTTGTAATTATCTTACCAAGATTATAAGTTTTTAAAAATACTTACGGGACCCACAAAACTGCTGACGTGGCGCGTTGTGGAGCCTAGAAACTGTACTATTATAATATAGATTTTTCGTAACATTGAAAATGATAAACTCAAGAATACTAAAATAGGCTAAATAATGAACTTATTTGTTTTCAAACAACGCAAAATAGAAAAAAAAAATTGTACTAATATTCTTATTTTTCTACATTCTTATACAATTATCTATATTCCGATAAAAGTAAGTTTATCTGTATCCATTGACAATAATTCAAAAGTAACTGAAACCAGAATCAAAACCGATTCAAAACATAGAGATACATAATGTATATGATGAACCAATTACTGGTGTCTATTTTCCTTGTCCTAGTATCGGTTTTAGCACCCAAAAATCCTTCAATTTCGCTAGTTTTTTTTTTACTAAAAGACAAGTTCAAGCATATTCCCGAGTCAGAAGATGCCACATATCTCGGGCTATAAATAGTGTAGTAGATAGAACACCTTCTCATATCAATTAAAACTGTATCAATCTTCAGACACCACTCTCTAGCTCGTCTGTTTCCAGATACACCACCTTCAAGGTCCGTGTAAGTACTAAACCAGCATAATATTTTATATTTTTCACGTTACCACTCGTTTTTGTTGTAAATTTGGATGATCCTAGTGATGATCTATGCTTCTGTTTCTCGACTAAATTAATGAAACCATCGTTTATCGTTCGTTTGGGTTGTTTTAGTTTCAAAACTATTTCAAAGTAAAGAAAAAAAAAACTGTTTCAAATTTTATCGCATTAACGCATATTTTGGTAAAAAAAAAGTCAAAAAATTCTTTTTACCAAAAAAAATCCGAAATTTCTCTAGTAGTTTATTGGAAAGTGCTTCAGTGAAATGATGTTACAGGGTAACTGGTCAACTGATTATGTTTATGTTTTTAATCTTTTTTTGTTATGACTTGCATCTGTAAAGTAAAGCACGACTATATTTTTGACATCTGAAATATTACGTACTTAAAAGTTGTAGTTGCTGTGTCAAGAATATCAATAGGATCAAATTTAAATTACTTGGCAGTCTAGCCACGAAGGTCAACGCTATTATTAGATAATCATATAAACACCTTTTCACATGCAATCAGTCTTTTCTTATCCAATTTTTTTCTCGTTTTCTCTCTTATGATAGGAACGAAAAGATATGTCGACGGATTCGTACGAAGATGCCATTAAAAAACTTGGAGAGCTTCTCACGTACAAACTCTCACAACTCATAACCTGTTTTTATATAAATGATTATTTGTCTTTTAAATATGAATTGGCCAATTCGCAGCAAGAAATCGGATCTAGGTAACGTCGCAGCCGCAAAGATCAAGCAGTTAACTAGTGAGCTAGAGGAACTTGATTCCAGCAAGATAGATTCTGTAGAAAAGATCAAGTCTGGATTTAACCATTTCAAGACTCATAATTATGAGTACGTAATATTTTTATTCGATAGGGATACGTCCGTACGTTTCAATGCTTTTCTATATGGATTATGGATATCAACTTTTTTTTTTCGTAACTGTGGATATCAACCTTTTACCCCCAACTTGTAATAACAACGGTTATAAAGTTAGATGAATTTTTTATATTTAATTATTTAATCTAAAAGGTAAATACAAAATAGTCGTTTTTTATAGAAATTATTTAATGAAATTAGTTAGTCTGGTTATTTGATACCTGCTCATTATATTATTGGTTCAACAATTTGCAGGAAGAACCCTTCGTTGTACAGTGCACTTGCCAAGAGCCAGAGCCCCAAGGTTTTGACTTATTCTGTCCATCACATCATTCCCTTTTTTTTTTTTCTGTTAGGATTACTTTTCTCTGATTGGCCTATGAAAATAATGGATTAAGGGTAACTTTTTGGGTAAATTTACGAGCAAGAAAGAAAAACAAACACTAAGCCCTAACATTATAACGAGGATTAAGACATGAAAGAAATATTCTTTTTCAACATAGAAATTAAACTAAATTTAGGTTAATAAAACCGGATGATTGGATTCAAAACTACACAAAGTAAAATAGTCTGAACGTACCGAAACAGTGAGAGATGATTAATATATGTTCAATCTAAGATTTGATAATTTTTGCAGTTTCTGGTGTTTGCTTGTGCGGACTCTCGAGTTTGCCCATCTCACGTCTTGAATTTCCAACTTGGGGAAGCTTTTATCGTTAGAAACATTGCAAACATGGTGCCACCTTATGACAAGGTTCGTCCAAACAATTAAACAGAATATCTTTTTTCACATCATTAGATATTAACATCCATTTTGTTTTTTTGTTCACAAACATCCATTTAGTTGTTGTTACTTATTTATCAACTAGCTATAAAATGCTTGTCTTTGAAAATTTTCAGGCAAAACACTGTAATGTTGGTGCCGCCCTTGAATATCCAGTCACAGTCCTCAATGTACGTACCATAATAATTAATCATTAGATATGTTTCTCTTGTCTTGCATAATTAAGTTACTTGGTAAAAAAAAGTTACTTATTTGGTAAAGGCTGATGTGACCTAACGTTAACCCTAAGTTTTGACAATATCAGGTGGAGAACATTCTGGTGATTGGTCACAGCTGTTGTGGTGGAATAAAGGGACTCATGGCCATTGAAGATGATGCGGCTCCCTATAAGAGGTACTTTTATTATCTTAATTAAAAGATTACTTAACCAATATCTTCTAATTAATATGATCAGGCAGGAGATTAACGGTTGGTTTAAAATTCATTTTTAATGGCAGTGAATTCATAGAAGATTGGATCCAGATATGTGCACCGGCCAAGAACAGGACCAAGCAGGATTGTAAAGACCTGAGCTTCGACGATCAGTGCACCAACTGTGAGAAGGTACGTAAAAAAAGACACAATTAATGTTTTCTCTATTTTTCTGTCTTGCTTGACACTGAGATTGTCTCTGTGGTGCGAGAAGGAAGCTGTGAACGTGTCGCTGGGGAACCTGTTGTCGTACCCGTTCGTGAGAGAGCGAGTGATGAAGAACAAGCTCGCTATAAGAGGAGCTCACTATGATTTCGTGAAAGGAACGTTTGATCTCTGGGAACTTGACTTCAAGACCACCCCTGCTTTTTCCTTGACTTAAAAAGAGTCGTTTTCTCCATGTTGCTTCTAAGTGTGTTCTCATCAATAATCGTCTTTCTCTCGCTTCAGTTTCTTGTCTCTTTTTCTTTTTTACTCAACTTTATGTTTCTTGTCCAGTCTCATCTTTTATGTTTAAAGAATAAATGAACACGATATAACCAGCATTTTATTTTCCATTTTCATTTAATTTGGTTACCTAGTTTCCCAGCACAAACAAAATTGTATACAAATGACGAATAGTATGCATAAATAAACAAATGTTACTATATTTAACAAATGCAGGGTCGGTCACAATCGGTTATAATATTCATCTTGGCTCCTAAATTTTTAAAAAGTTACTATAAATTGATCAAGTAGCTTCTAAACTATGCAAAAAAATATTAAGCTTTGTACTAAAATGTTTAAAGCTTCCAAAAATTCAGGTAAAGTACATTATTCAAATACTGAACTCGGGATCTTGCAGCATAAAAACACTAATCGGTCTAGATATGTGGGCCTATATCACAATTGGGCTTGATAACTAAACTCCATCGAGTAAAGGTCCAACTAGAAACTGTTGTTAAAAATCGAGTAGGAACATTTCATCTAGGCACGATGGATGATGATCAAGACAAGCGCGCACAACGAAGCACGATGTGTACACGTGGACGGATGGTATATGATCGGTGGCCAAGCTTAAAAACAGACCGTCCGTGTCCTCACAACCCCCACAGAACTCAAAAAACGGTGAAAGGTTTCATTGAATGTGACGTTAACCAGATCTATCATCCGATCATCCAAATGTAAGCTTCGAGTTTAATCCCAATTTCAGATATTTTTTTTGAGAATTTGTATGTTGTTCCTCTGATTCTCTGACTCTACAATGCGGGTCCAACGTATGCATACATTGTTATTGGCTATTGTTAGAAACATTTGTTGAATCTCTGTCATCTCTTTTGTCCTGAGAATGTTGTGTTCTTCTACTGATCTTCCTTTACCATAACTCTTGTGTCTATTTGATCAAATGTATTGTCTAAACTGAATAATTCCAACATGAGCTCATCTTCCATGACTTTGAGTTGTGGTAAGAACTTATGTTTTTTTTTTTGTTTTGTCGTTTGCAGAGTCATCTTATTGAAAAATGCCAGACACCAAACCAGGGTTGAGAAAGCCAGCTTTCACCAAGGTTGATCAGCTGCGTCCGGGGACTAGCGGACACAATGTCACAGTGAAGATCGTTAGCACCAAGATGGTGTTGCAGAAAGGTCGTTCAGATGGTCCTCAGGCTCGCCAGATGCGGATTTCTGAATGCATTGTTGGAGATGAGACCGGAGTTGTCGTCTTCACCGCAAGAAATGACCAAGGTACATGTTTGTGTGTGTAGGAACGTGTGCTATCCAAAGGCTAGTGAATAATTAAATTGTTACATGTTTGTGTGTGTAGTGGACATGATGAAAGAAGGAACCACTGTAACTCTACGCAATGCAAAAATCGACATGTATAAAGGATCAATGAGGCTAGCTGTAGACAAGTGGGGTCGCGTTGAAGCCACAGAGCCTGCCAGCTTCAAAGTGAAAGAAGACACCAATATGTCTCTTGTTGAGTATGAGGTCGTCAATGTTGTCGAATGAGTAACAAAACACTCAAAATACTTTTTGTTTTCGACACCGATGATCAACAATAATAAAAGAGTTACCATTGATATCAATGTTGCACTAACAGTTAAGGTTTAATAGCACAAGCAGTTCAAGGCCAAACACTAATGAAACTCAACATTTGATACATGTTCGAAAGCTAACAAAAGACACGGCTATAGGTTCTCAAACAAGTAAAAAAAAAAATCTACATGCATCCCAAAAATGAGCTAGAACATTAGTGAATCAAGACATCTGTGAACTAAGAGTAAATAGCAAATTATATGATGCAATTTTATTACTACATATATAAAAGGTTGCATAAGCTTGACAAGAAACAAGAGAAAAACATCCAAAACAAAACAAATATTGATAGAAAAAAAACATATAAACAAGTTGTTATATGATGCCGAAAGCCATATGATCACTCACCATCTAGTAGCAAGTTGTTTCCTCCAAGATTGCATCTGGGACCAAAACCAAGTCCCAATCTTCGTCCCCCAAGTCCTCCTGCCGGTTGTCCAGGGTTCTGCATAAAGAACGGTCCACCACCACGACGACCCCCATTAACCCATCCGAAAGGGTCAGGGTCCGGAACGAGAGGAAAAGGAAAACGGTTTCTACGCATGATCCTTGACGTCCGCCTAGACGACGAGGAGGCAGCCTGCCGTTTGTATTGCCTCCAAAACGCAGCAAACTTCGCCTTCCAATTAACCTCACCACCACCCCCATCCACAACAAGATGCTTAGCCTCCTCCAAACACTTCTGCTTCCACAAGTCATTATCACACGCCAGGTACCGAATCTCCGTACAAACGAAACCCATCTTCGCGACGCTCTCCCCGGGGAGAGACTCCAGTATCTTCAGCTTCAGCTCTGTGGGTAAACGCATCAAGCAGGGAGGAAGCTCCAAACCAGACTTATCGCAAAGACCAATCAACAGAGGGATGACAAGAGAATCTTTCACCATCCTCCAGAACATGAACATCTCCTTGTAGACACTCGAACACCCGTCTTTATCACACTTCAAAGTATCCATCACCAAATCAATAACGGGAACAAACCTACGCTTATCGAGATAAACTCTCAGCAGCTTCCCGCTTAAAGACCCGTAAACCACAACCTTATCGCTTAAGCTCTGGAACCTAACAGTCACAGACTCAACTATCTTCCCGTCGTCGTCGCGGGTGGTTAACTCAGGGAGAGTGTAGTTAAGGGATACAGTGAGTAACTCCTTTGAGAAGCTAAACTTGTTATCAGGATTTAACAGAATAAATCCAGATTCCAACATTACGGCATGAACAGATATAGCTAACGTAGTCAACTCGCTGGTATCGCCGGATTTCTCGAGTAGTATCTTTTTCAAGAAAAACGGTTCGGTTAACCGTTTGCTTCCCGCGGCAGCGATCTCCACATCAAGCTCCTCAACATCCATCGGGTCTGAACCTTGCTCTGGATCAACTACCGGATTCGGATCTTGGATATTCATATCAACATCGGTCGCGGCGAATCCAATCCCCATCGAATCTTGATTATTCGTCTGATTCTTCTCTGATTCCCCCGATTTCACGTGGCTAATCGGAGCTAGGGTTTGATGTGGTGCCTCTGAGGAGGAGGCGATCTCCTCGACGGAAGTAACGAAGGCGGAGGGAGCGAGAGAGTAGTAGATTAGGTCACCGGAAGTTACGCCGAGAGATCGGAGCGTGTCGTCGGGGGAAAGAGATATGAGCTCGTCTTTGCGGTTAAGGGATAGGTGAACGGAGGAAGGGGATGGTTCGTTGAGGCGTTGACGGAGGTCGTGGAGAGTGGTGGAATCGGGTAATTCGAGTTTTAGGGTTTCTCGGGTCTCGTGGCGTCTCAACCGTAGCTTCATTGTCGTGACTCGTGTGTTTTGGTGAAGGGATCAAAGTCAGACGAAATTTATGTGAGGATAGCGTTTTATATATATGGCCCGAGCTTTGGGCTTTTGATAATGTGCTAAACTGTATGGGCTTTTAGGTTGATATCGAAGATAATTTAATCTCGTTAATAAGTTTTTTTTTCTTTGTTTTCTAAATTCGGAGTTACTCAAAAGTAAACTATACAAAAAGTTTCCTAAAAGAAATTTAAAACGATATGTAAAATATCCATTCGTAGTCAATTGTTTTGATTAAAATTAATTAATAGTGTTTCTCTACATCAACAAAATCTGAAGTTTTGAGAAAAAAAAACTTCAAAAAAAAAAAATACAAATAACAGAATTTATAAGAAATTTTCAGCAATGGTTATGTCATACACGTTTCTGCGTAATCCTATACATCTTTCTTTTCGGAGTAGCCTTTTTTGTTTTGCTATATGATGATGACGATGAGTCGTGTATTTGATTAATTACTTACTACATCAATGAATTCATCTTCTTTTTTTTTTTTTTTTTTTTTTTTTTTTATGAATTCATCTTCTTTACTCCTTCATTTTCAATTGGTTGTATATATAAACGTTTACACGATTGTGCTCTGTCTGATAGTTTGAATATTGGTAGAAAATACAAGATTGTCCGCACCATTACAAGAATTTATATGTTCCCTTTTTGGCTAATGGTCTCTCCATGTGGTTTGGGTCAAGCTTTCGAACCTGCCGTGCGTTGCACGTGAGATAGCGCGTAATATAAACGTGGGTTAAAGACGAGTGAGAGTATTAGAGATCTCAATTAAAAACAGACATAAAGACAAAAAAAAAAAAGGAAACGATATATTCGAGGCGAAAGCAGTGACGTGTCCTATCGTAATATCATCACATCATAATAACGAAATTGATATCGAATCCCCACTTCACCTGCTTCCCACCTTCGCTTCACTTCACATCAACACACACACAATCCTGCAAAAACACTAATCTCCTCCTATCTCATTTCATCATCATCTCTCTGAGTTTCTTGTTCAGAACAGTTGCAATGGACGCTACCAAAGAAGCCTCCGTTACCGATTTGAAGAGACCGAGAGAAGAGGATGATAACGCCGCAGCTAACGGCGACCAGACAAAGGAGCCGGCTTGTTTCTCCTCAGTGATTCCTGGGTGGTTCTCCGAGATGAGTCCCATGTGGCCAGGTCTATTCCTCCTCCTTCTTTTCATCATCATCCTCTGTTTCATTTTCGATTAAAAGTTGAGTTCTTTTTGTACCGACTTTCTGATGATGCAGGAGAGGCACACTCTTTGAAGGTTGAGAAAGTTTTGTTTCAAGGCAAATCAGATTACCAGGACGTGGTTGTTTTCCAGGTAACACAACGACTACTTTTCCTTAAATTTGTAACCAAATCTATATGTGTGTTTGGTTTCTGTCTTTAGTCTGCGACATATGGGAAAGTGTTGGTGTTGGATGGAGTTATCCAACTTACAGAGAGAGACGAATGCGCTTATCAGGAAATGATCACTCATCTTCCTTTGTGCTCTATCCCAAACCCAAAAAAGGTAAAAAAAAAATCAAAGACTATTACTCTGTTTGCATGTATTGGGAACTGTAAGTAGTTAAGGTTTATCAAAGACTGTTTCTTTGGACTATAATAATGAAAGGCTAAGCTCACATTTTTCTTCTCCGGTAAAGTAGGATGGCTTAATCACTACTTGTGGAGAAATAGAGTAACCAGACTTCCTTTTTATCAGATATGAAACTTTTAGAAACTAATTGATCTGCCATAGTCCAGAGTGGTGATAGTAAAAAGTAGATGATGATGATGATAAACATTTTAGCTTTTAATATGTACAAGAAAAAAAATAGTGCATTGTCCCACGTTCTCATCTGGCAAAGTTAGAGAACTCAAGTTACTTTATTAGGTAACAATAACATGAAGAAAATTGTTTTAACTGGCTTAAATGATTATCACTCTGACTTTGCTTTTAGCAAGAGTGTATCTGATCAATCCTTTTCTAGTTACTCCATAGGTATTGGTCATAGGAGGAGGAGATGGAGGTGTCCTGCGTGAAGTTGCACGCCATGCTTCTGTTGAGCAGATTGACATGTGTGAAATTGATAAAATGGTGGTTGACGTGAGTCCCTCTCACATACTTTTTTCCTCCATCTCTGTTTCGATTGTTATCATTTAGCTGTGTGTATATTAGTTTAATTTGTTTCCACCTTCTTTGAAATCTTCAGGTGTCTAAGCAGTTTTTCCCTAATGTAGCAATTGGATTCGATGATCCTCGAGTGAACCTCGTCATTGGTGACGGTACAAAAACTGCCACTATGTACTTATGTTGTCATTTCTAAATCCAATTTATTCTAACTGTTACAGTAAGTTGATCATTGCAGGTGTTGCTTTCTTGAAGAATGCTGCTGAAGGTTCATATGATGCGGTCATTGTTGACTCATCAGATCCAATCGGTAACTACTACCACCGTCAGATTTGTCATTAATTAACAAGCAGCCTTTAACTTCGAGCTGGTGTGTGTCAGGTCCTGCAAAAGAGCTGTTTGAGAAACCTTTTTTCCAATCAGTGGCGAGAGCTCTTCGTCCAGGTGGAGTAGTGTGCACTCAGGCTGAAAGCTTGTGGCTTCACATGGACATCATCGAAGACATTGTTTCCAACTGTCGTGACATCTTCAAGGGTTCTGTGAGCTATGCATGGACTAGCGTTCCAACATACCCTAGGCATGTTTAATAACCTTCATTCTCTCATGTTTTGGTGATTATAACGTAACCTGAGGAATCTGACTCTGTATCATTTCACTTTCTTTTTGGGCAGTGGGGTTATTGGATTTATGCTCTGTTCAACAGAGGGACCTCATGTTGACTTCAAAGTCCCAATGAACCCTATTGATGACAGCTCCAGCAAATCAAATGGACCCTTGAAGTTCTACAACGCTGAGGTAAAAACACTCAGTATAGTATACCGTCACATGCCTCTTTGACACTTGAATCCTAAACGTATGTGTTAATTTCTTCATGTTTTCAGATTCATTCAGCTGCCTTCTGCTTACCTTCTTTTGCCAAGAAGGTGATTGAGTCAAAAACCTCTAATTGAAAAAGGATAGAAATAGTTTGGAGGATCGTTTGCATTTATCAAAATAAAAGCTTTTTAGAATGTCTTGTTTGTTTCAAACAAATGCAAACCATTATCTTCTTTCTAGTCATAATAGCATCATTACACATTACATATTAGCAAAGCTTCTCTACAAGTTTATTTGCCTCCTGTCTCTTTACCACTCATTAGAGGTTTAGCTTGTTCTACATCAGCCTTGTTTCTCAAAATCCTAGTCTTACAATCATGGTAACGTACAACACAAGCCAACCATTTAACCACATTACCAACACAAATCAAACCTACATAGAAACCAGTGTACAACACACCCTTCCCACTTGAACTTAAACTGCATTTAGAGTATAAACACGGCATCCTCGTCACAACAGCAAAGACCAAGAACATCAACATCATCCATACGTCACACTTCTCATGTCCTTTTCGATACCAAGCTGAAAGAGACAGAGCATCACTTCCATATACGCCTTCATCACCATCTTCTTCTAAGACAGAAACTACCAAACTCATGTTCCATCCTGCACTCCACTTGATGAACTTTGCAGTCAGGTACATGAAGAGAGTAGCCTGAACAAGAACCACCATCGCGTAGATCAGAAACGGTACTAGGTCGAGTAAGGTTTGACGTTGGTGTACGAGACTAACAATGTTTAAACTGTCCGCCCAATGAGAGAAGAAACCGAAGAAAAACAAAAGAAAGAAAGGAAGGAAAAAGAGGAACACAGAGGTTGATAAGAGAAGAACATAAAGAGATGTGATCAGACAACCTCCTAGTCTCTTCTGACATATCTTGATAGATCTCCGTACCAGATCAAGCAACCCCAAGGGTTCTTCCTTTGACGTGTAAACTGTTGAAGATGCTGCAACGATTGTGGTGGTGGTGATGAGGTCGAGAATGGTGTAAGGGAAGAAGTAGAGCAGAGATGTCTTGATCAGACATGGAATCAGATCGTTTTCAGACAAGTCCTCCCAAATATTGCGTTGTTGGTAAAGCGGCTGGTAAGTGAGATAGTTGGTGGCTTGCACAAACAGATCGTTCTGTGACAAATCCTTCTCAACGTTGACTTGTTTGGAGAGGAATTGGTAAGTGAAAGAGAGGGTGGTTTGGAGGGAGAGCTCAAAGAAGATCAAGAAACAGAACAGTGGGAGAGAACAGAGGAAGATGATGAGTGGTAGATTGATGTTGCTCAAGAGTAGCTTCACAGCTTGTTTTAGTAGCTCGATGACACTTAGCTTCTTGTCCATCTTCATCTCTGTTGATTATGAGCTCTCTTTATTTTTATTTTTTTGCAGTAGAAGAAAGAAGATCAAAGATATGTAATATTTGGTATTCGATAAAAATTAATGGTCGCTGTCCTTCATTGACTTTGACTTTGACCTTTTTTACTTCATCTGTGTCATGTTGAATGGTCGTTGGGGTTTGTAAAACGAAAGACTTGCTCTTTTTTTTCATGTTGACTTTTTTTACTTCATCTATGTCATGTTTGAATGGTAGTGGAGCTACAATTAAGGTTCGTTTTTACTGCGTTGACTTGGTCCACTAGTCTGGCTACAATTCATTCTTATGTAAACCATTGAACAGTTGATCAAAAAAACAGTATATGTACATTGGGGAAACTCTCTTCAGAACTCGATAGTGTATACAACTGCAATTTAAATATATGAAAGGTAGATGATATGATCTTAAAGTTCCTTAAAAGATTGGGTGATAAGTATAATATAGAAAAAAAAATTTGAGTCAAACCTGTGACTGGCTTAAGGAAGAATTTTCAAATCAGCCATCATTTCATCAAGCTTGAGCTTAAACACCTGACAATCCAGATCTGGCCGGCTATTTGCTGATTCCCTGCATATGTTTTCAAATGTTCTTGTAAGTACCTAATTTAATTGAATTTAAGAACTCATCATATTGGTATAACTAGGTTGAAATGATTCGTTCTTTGTATTTTGTGAGGAATAGATAGCCTAACATCGTGTGTAAGCATGTGCAACATTCTTAGTGCTAAAACGTGGCTTAACATTTATTATTTTCTTCTTTTAAGTTAACAGATATTCTTGTTTTCTCTTTATACATATAGTCTAAAAGAAATCAGCACTCGATCACAGATTGTATAGGTTTAAAACTGTTGTTAGTACTGTTCTTATCAATAATTAAATGTTACTTCCTTATTCTTATAGGAGCATACAAGTTAGCTACTGAGATTCTGGTCAAACGTGCTTGCTAGTCTCTTTAGCATATTCATACTCTCTCATAACGTTACGATTGTTAAATTTAACTGTTGTAAATGGAATAACAGCTACGAAAAAATAGAGGCTTATCCAGGAAATATTCTGAACCCAAAACGAGTCGTTCTGTGTTCAAAGCCTCTCTAAATGTGAAATTGTTTACGTGTCGGTTTATTACTCACTTATTTACATGCCATCCATGTAGACCCCACATTACTCCCTTGACAGAACTTTATAAAGAATTTCGGTCACAAATTTCTGAAATAACACAAGTGCGTATACCCATGCACTTGCCCCTTATCAAGTAGAAATCATAAAAATTTTGTAATCTTTCCTTAAAATTTTGATTTTTTCACATCATACATAGAAATACTTACAAGGTTTCCTTAAAAACTGACCAATTACTCAGCAACATCTTTGACTCATTAAGTCATAGCAAATATGAAGAGATTAATGCTGAATCTCTCGCCAACTAAGTTGCTGAGTCATCATAGATAATAGAGATATAAACAACGTTAAGTCATACTACTGGTGTGGGCCTTTGAGAAACGAGTATTCAATTCAAATTACTTTTTAGTTTGGGGGAAGTTTTAGTACTGTTACAAAAGTTTGGATATTTAAATTGAGTGAAAACATCAATTTGCATGCATGAAACCAATATGTCAACATGGTCTATATTTGAAACCTGTAAGAAAATAACATTTTAAGAGTAGTTAAATTACATATTGTTCAAAAATTGTTCATATTTTTCTTATCTCAACTGTAGTAAAATACTTACGTCAAACTTGTTTTCATCCAAAACACACATCTTGTTTTGTGTGGACATGACAGGTGGATCTCAGAGGTAAGTCTTGCTTATCAATTATAATGACATACCACAAGGTAAGTCTGCAGGAGGAAGTTCTTTTCAAGTTGGAGATTCTATATGCAGTTGTGAACCCGCTGAGATTGGCAAAGAAGTTGAACGCAGAGCTGTAGTCACACGAGTCGTCAATGATTATGGATACATGAGTCTCCGTGGTAAACTTCTATGAGTCTAGAGAAGTATACTTTGGTCAAGACACAAGTATCAGTATGTAATAAATTTGCAAAACCAAAACTTTCGTTATGGCTTTTTAAGGATGAGAGCCTCGAATCCTAATCAAACACCACTTGTTTTAGCTTATTCTACTTTACTTGTTGATTTTCCCAATGTCAAGCAAGATTAACAAGTTCAGAAATACATATAGTTGTTTTGCAGCTTAATAATCATGGAAAGATTTTGTTTCGTGGCAAAATTAATGTTATTAGAAGGTATTATTTTGTGAAGAAAACTTAGAATATGAGGCTGAATTGTATACTAGATAAGAAGCGTCAGTTTTCGAGTTATATTCTTGTTCACACATCTCTTTCAAAACATTCATAGAAACTCTTTGGTTAAAAATTGTCACAATATCTACTTTATGATGGAACATTCCCCTTTATAAAAGTCTTATTATAGAAGGACGATTACATTTTTTATGAATGAAATTTCAAATGACTCTATTATTTTCTCCTCACATACTTCCTCTGCTTTTAAACAAAGCCTACTCAGCAGAGGAAAAACCACGAGATGCAACGCTGTCCTCAGCCATCTTTGAAAACCCTTCAATCTGAATGTTTATCATATCATTTATGGTTGCATGAGGAAGAGAGAAAGCAATGTCAGTCTCCAGATCACTGTGCTCTTCATCACTGCTAGTTTCTTGTGTATCATCAAAAAAGGTAATCAGGTCCATAAGATCATCAGAAGGTTTCAAAGAAAGAGGCTGCTTTAAAATAGCTACATTTTTTGGTTGACACATGAAGAAAAGGGGAGAGGCAATCATCGTAACTAGTCTACTTAGTACCGAACCAGCAAATAAGTTTCTAACGTAGGAGAAGGAGGTCCAAACTTGTTCCCCCGATTTGATTAGGAGAAACTTCCATGTCATGATGAACGAGAGGTGCTTCACTTCTTCCTATCTATAACAATTTTGGTGTTAAGAGAACTCGATACAAATTACATAACAAATGTGATGATAGGTAACTTACATGACGAATGATGTAAGGGCGAGCAGCAAATCCAATGGCTACACCGAGAAAGCATGAAAGGACTGTAGAAGCCGGAAAACCGGATCGACATAGACGATATAAGAAAGACGGGGTTAAGGAAACAACGATTATATGAGACATGGAGGCGAGATAAATCTCTTTCCTTAACTCTTAATATTCGCTCCGTAGTGAGACGAAACTGTACGAATATTGAGTCCCAGGATACAACCATGGCAGACGAATCACGCTTCACTCGTGAAA